GCGGCGCTCCCGCCGAGGGTTCGGATCCCACATACAGACCGGTTCCCACTCACTGGCTGAGCGAGGTGCGGGCGGAGCACCGAGGTTTGCATCCCCGGTCTGGTACGGGCGCGACACTGAGGGTTGCGATCCGTTGCCGGACACGAAAAAAGACAAAAAGGAAAAACAAAACAAAACAAAAAAAACCTAAGTTCTCACCTGCTGATGACATTAGGGTTCTGTGGAAGCAAGAAGTAAGGCAAAGTTGTAAACTCATACATATAGAGCCCATGGCAAAGAATGGGAGAATTTTTGGTTCCAGACATTTAAGGAACCAAATTACGGTTCCTCTGTCCAATTATTAGCTGAACAATGAGCTAATGTAACCATGACTTAAGCAGCCACACATGACAAAAAATATGAACTTCACAGAATTAGTTCAGAAAAGTCACTAAAAAACAAACAACATCTACACTAAGTCAAACACCACCACAAATCCTGGAAAGGGGAGAGAATCTGATTTCCAGACTTGCTATTTATAATACTAAAATGTCTAGTTTTCAACAATACAAAATTACAAGGCATGAAAAGAAACAAGATAGTACAGCCCATATAAAGGAAAAAGGAAATAAATAGAAATAGCCCAAAGAAGACCAGACAATGAACTTTAAAGAGAAAAGCTTTAAATCATTTATTTTAAATATGTTCAACAAGCTAAAGGAAACCATGTCTAAAGAATTAAACAAAAGTATGAGAACAATGGGTCACCAAAATGAGAATATTGGTAAACAGACTGAAATTATCAAAAGAAAAAATAGAATTCCAATGTTGAAAAGTACAATAATTGAAATAAAAAATTCACTAGCGGGGCTAGACAGCAGATTCAAACAGGAAAAAGAATCAGCAAACTTGATAGGTTTACTGAAATTATATGGTCTGAAAAACAGAAAGAAAAAAGAATGAAGAAAAATAACCTCAGATACCTGTGGTACACCATCAAGCATACCAACATAAGCATAATGAAGTGCCAGGAGTTGGGGGTTGGAGGGGAGGGAGAGGATAGGAAAGATATGCGGAAGGAATATTTGAAGAAATAATGATCAAAAATGTAAAATTTGAAGCTCAATAAACTCCAAGCAGTAAAAACTCAAAGAGATCCATATCTAGATACATCATAATCAAATTGTCAAAAGCTATAGACAGAGAAAGAATCTTGAAAGCAGCAAAGGAAAAATAACTCATCATTTACAAGGGTTCCTAAATAAGAATAACAGTTGATTTCCAATTAGAAACAATGGAGGCCAGCTAGTTGTGGGATTGATTATATAATGAAAGTGGTGAAAGAAAAAAATTCTACCAAGAATTATGAGTATATTCTGGCAAAACTATCCTTCAAAAATGAAGGAGAATTCAATACATTCCTAGAAAACAGAAATAAGAGAGTTCATCACTAGCACACCCACCCTACAACAAATGCTAAAGGGAGTCCTTCTCAATGAAATGAAAAAACACTAGACAGTAACTCAACTCCCCATGAAAAAATGAACACCAGGAAAGGTATCTACATACGTAAATATAAAAGATAGTACAAAGGCATTTTTTGTTTCTAATTCCTTTTCTTTTTCATCTCATTTAAAAGACAACTGCATAAAGCAATAATTATAAATCTAAGTTAATGAGCACATAATATATAAACATTTAATCTGTAACAACGGTAGATAATAACAACAGGCATAAAGGGGAATGAACAGAGTATGTATAAAGGGGCAAAGTTTTTACACATTACTGAAACTAAACTGGCATTAATCCTAACTAGATTGTTATAAATTAAGATGTTAATTATAATCCCAAGAGAAAGCACAAAACATGTCCACACAAAGACTTGTACGTAAATATTCATAGCATCTCTATTTATCATAGCCCCAAAGTGGAATCAATCCAAATGTCCATTAGCTGATTAATGGAAAAACAGTATGCAATATATCCATACAATTGAATATTACTTGGCCATAAAAAGAAATGAAGTACTGTTATATGCTGCAACATGAAAACATTGAGAACATTATGTCAAATTAAGAAGGCAAACATAAAAGGCTACATGTTTATTTTACGTAATTGTATGATTCCAATTATATGAAATGTCCAGAATAAGCAAATCCATAGGGACAGAAAGTAGATTAGTAGTTGCCACGAGAGCAAGGAGCAAAGAACTGGAACTAACTGCTAACAGATACAGGTTTGTTTTTGGGTTTTTTTTTGATATGCGGAAAGTGTACTTGGATTAGATAGTGGTGAGGGCGTTGCCACGAGAGCAAGGAGCAAAGAACTGGAACTAACTGCTAACAGATACAGGTTTGTTTTGGGGTTTTTTTTTGATATGCGGAAAGTGTACTTGGATTAGATAGTGGTGAGGGTTGCATTACACAGTGAATAAAGTAAAACTACTGAAGTGTGCACTTTTACATGGAGAATTTTATGTTCTGTGAAATATATTTTAATAAAAAATATTATAAAAGGCTTCTAGCATACATCATAAATAATAGTAAAATAGATAAAAGTTTAATAAATAATTTCAGTGATGAAACAAAAAATTTCAATGGTGAAAGTTTTCTTTGAGATTGGGAATGAAACAAGCATACTTGTTATCACCACTTCTATTACATATTGTATTAAAGATTATAATCAGCACAGAAAAAAATGATAATACAAAGAGAAACAACCAGAAGTAAAAAATAAATTTAGTAAGATTACTAGACACAAGATTATTACACAAAAGTCAATTATACAAGGGTAGTTCAAAAAGTTCATGGAAAGATTTGTATTATCTTTTAATTCTATTTTCCCCAAAACTTTTTGAAGTACCCTCGTATTTCTTTATGCTAAAAATAATTAGAAAGTGAAACTTAAGAGAGAATACCATTTACATTATCATCTAAAACACCAAATAAAAACAATCTAAGAAAAAATGGGCAATATGTACACGCAAAAAGCTGCAACATATTATTGAAAGAAACTTTAAAAGATCTAAATAAATGGATTTACTCATGGGTTGTAGAGTCAATACTATTTGGATGTCAATTCTTCCACAATTGATCTATACATTCATTGTTATTCCAATCAAATATATCAGCTGAATAATTTGTAAGTAATGATAAGTTACTTTTCAAAATTTATATGAAAATGTAAAGTGGCAATCTTACAGAAGGAAAACAAAGTTTGAAAATCACTATACCAAACACCTAATATAAGGCTTCAGTAACTAAGACTGTGCAGTATTGGCACAAGGATGGACAAGTAGATAAATGGAACAAAGTAGAACATCTAACTGTGTGGGAAACAGACCTACATAGTTATGGGCACTTAGTTTATGATAAAAGTGGCATTTCTAGAACTGCAGGAAATAGTCTTTTTATTAATTGATATGGCCGATTGGTTTGAAAAGCTTTTGGAAAAAAAATTAAACATTATCAATACTTAATACCAAACACAAAAATATATTCCAGGGGACTGTTAATCTAAAAGTTGAAGTTGAATATTAAAGATTCTAGAAAGATTTAGAAATATCTTTATGACACTGAGGTAGGAAAAGGTTTCTTTTTTTTTTTTTTCTTTTTGTCTTTTTTACTGACCGGTAATGGGATCGCAACCCTCGGTGTCGCGCCCGTACTGGGGACCGGCAACGGGATCGCAACCCTTGGTGTTGCGCCCACACCGCGCTCAGCCAGTGAGCGGGAACCGGTCTCCACATGGGATCCAAACCCTCGGCGGGACCTCCGCCGCGCTCCCAAGCAGCGCACTCTCCAGTGCGCCACCGGGCTGGCCCAGGAAAAGGTTTCTTAAACAGAACACCAAAAAACCCAAAGTAAAGTTAAAGGTTGATGATTAGAATTAGTAACTCTGGTCATCAACAGTCACCATTTAGAGACTGAAAAGGCAAGCCAGAATGGGAGAAGATATGTACAAAAGACTCAATTCTGAAATACATAAAGAACTCTTTACAAACCAGTATCAAAAAAGGCAACCCAAGGGCCGGCCTGGTGGCGCACTGGAGAGTGCGCCGCTTGGGAGTGCGGCGGCGCTCCCGCCGAGGGTTCGGATCCCATGTGGAGACTGGTTCCCGCTCACTGGCTGAGCGCGGTGCGGGCGCGACACCAAGGGTTGCGATCCCGTTGCCGGTCAGTAAAAAAGACAAAAAGGAATTAAAAAAAAAAAAAAAGGCAACCCAATAAAAACACTTGGAAAGGCACTTCACATAGGAAGATATAGTGTCTAATAAACATAAGAAAGTGTGTTCAGTCTTATTCATCAAAGGATATGCAAATTAAACAATAATCAGATATTACTATATACCTACCAGGTGGTTAAAATATAAAGATTTGACTAAGTGTTGGCAAGGATGTAGAGTAACTGGAATTTTCCTATCACATTGCTGAAGTATAAATTGATACATTTTTGAAAATGGTTTAGAAGTATTTACTGAAGTTTAGCTATGACCTGCAATTTAACTTCAAAAATAGAAATTTACAATTGTATGTACTAAAAACACATATATAAGAATGTTCAGAGGAAAATTATTCATTATAGTCAAAAACTGGAAACACTACATTTCTCCAACAAAAATAAAGTGTGCTATATTTATAAATGGACTGCTATATAGCAATGAAAATAAACTCCTGCTATACAGAATCATGGATAAATCTTACAAATATAATATGACTAGAGGAAATAAGATGTAAAGGAGTGAATACAGGATGATTCCATTTATAAATTTCAATAAGCAGGCAAAACTACTTATGGTGTTAGAAGCTAGAATAGTCATCATCTTTGTGGAAGAAAAGGAAGGTAGTGACTAGGAGGAAGCATGAGGGAGGCTTCGGGACACTGGCAATATTCTAGTTCATCTTAGCAATGGTTGACTCGGTTCACCTTGTGATAGTTCACTGAGCTGCACATCTATATTTTATGTGTTTTTTCTGTACATGTTTTACTTGATTAAAATAAGTTTTAAAAAGTTTATTTACCTGTTTTTTCTGTGTTCTGCTCCTGTTTTCCAGCCAAGCATCCATCTGTTCCTCAATTTCTTCTATAGAAGTTCCATGATCATAAGACTGAATATATGTACTTTCTAAAGGCACGTATGTGGGAAATTCAGGTTTTGGTTTTTTAACTTTAATTTTCTTCTGTTCTAAAAAATGTTTAAAAAAACAATTATTGAGATTTGTTAAGAACGGATAGAATTTCTAACATTTTATTCATAGATCTTGAAAGAACACATGAATATTGTTCTTTCATCAAAATAGAATTGCTTTGTCATAAATAACTAGCTGTAAGTTTTACTGTACATTAACCACTGCACTGTTTTTAAATAAAACTCAAGAGATGCTGCTCATGAGATGATAATCATGACATAATCACCATATCAATTTGTATGCACCTTTAGTTTTCAAAGTACTTTTCATCAAACATTTCATTTTGACACAATGGAAAGAGCTTTAATTCAGTTTTTTAATCCTACCATTACCACATAACAGTTATGTATAATATTGGGCAAGTAACTTAACCCTTAGAACAAGTGTCCATTTTCTCACCTGTAAAAAAAGCACTAGCTCTCAATAAATGATATTTATTTATCTTTTCAATATTTTACAAAGGCAAAATATAATCTGGCAGCATCAGGAGTAGTTATAAATAGATGGCTATCAATTGGGCTCTTATTAAATCCCATTTTGATCAGTGACTCAAAATTGAGAAGCAACTCCATTCTTAATTACTACAGTCAAACTTACCCAGGTCATAGCCATATCTTTACCACTGTGTGTGTGTTTGCATGTACTATAATGCCAATGTAATAAAATCTACATGGTATCGGCATAGGAATAGACAAGAGAATAGAGGATTCATAAATATTTTGATTCACAGGGAAAAGAATTTAATAAACGATGCTGGCACAACTGAATATCCATTTGAAAGAAACTGGACACAAATCTTACATCATATACAAAAATAAATTCTAGCTGGATAAGAAAGTTGATTTAAAAAGCAAAACACTAAAAATCTTACAAAAAGAAATCTAAAAAACTACACGTACTAATTAAAGGAAGAAGAAAACCTAAGACTACAAAGCCAGATGCTATAAAAAAGATAAAAGATAAAATAAACAAACCAAGAGACAAATAATAGATTTCAAAAGAATAACTGAAATTCAGAGGACCAACAGAAGATTGATATAAATATTATATAAAGAGATTTTATAAATTGAGAAGGGGATAAGCAGTCCAATAGAAAAAAATGGGGAAAGGTCATGAATAGGCCGTTCACAAATAAACAAATCAACTTGGCCAAGAAACAAGAAAAGATGCTCATACTCTCTAAAGTTTAAAGAAATGCAAATTCAAGCAATACCAAGATATGATTTTATACCCATCATATAGATAGAAATTTTAAAATCTAATAAGATGTACTGCTGTTACGGAAAGGGCTATCTGTAAATTGGTGATGGAAATGTGAATTATCCTATCACAGCCTTTTGGAAAGCAGTCTTAAAACATCTATTAAATTAAAATATACAACATTTTCCCCAGCAATTCCCCCAGAAATAAAAGCATTAGAATGTAACCGTACGTGTGTATGTATATGGGTATATATGTATTTGTGTGTATATGACTATTTACCATTTCTTCATAGAGATACAAAACTATTAACACAGTAAATGCTTATTATTAGCACCATGCTCTAACCAACTAAGCTAACTGGCCAGCCCTGTAAATGCTTATTAATAGGAGAAATGACTGAATAATTATTGATGATGCATCCGCACTGAGCAATATTAAATCACCATCAAATAGAGCTATGGCAAGCAACTGACTAATAGAGATTTCCATGAGTTTGAGTAACAAAAGCAAGATGCTGAAAGGCATATAAGATTCTGTATTTGTAAAACAACATAATGCCTCTCCAAATCTCAATATATGCATGTGAATACATTCATGTAAATATATTTGAATATCATTATATAAACATGAAGAAAAATATAGATGAATATCAAGAAATGTGGAGGGATACATAAAGGAGAAAGGGAGAGTAAAGACAATAAAGGAAAAGAGAAGGAACACCACAATAAAAAACAAGTAATTTATAAATATGTATTTTTAAATAAAATTATAAGTAAAAATATAAAAACAAAATTTGACAAGAATACACACATAAATCCAACTGAAAATCCAGATTTCTAAAGCCAATTAACCAATAGCTTAGTAAATATTTATTAAATTCTGTTCTACTTTAATAATACAGTGCTAAGGTTGTAGCATCTCACATTTCCACATGGCAAAATCTTGCATATACATTTTTAAAAAATAGGTGTTTCAAAACTGAATGTCTTAGAAAACATGCTCAAGTGAACTAAAGACATTTGCTAACCACTCATCTTTCCTCCAATTTTCTAGTTTCAATAAAACCTGTATAATTAGTATGGACTAAGGTATTATGAAGTTTGGAGGTAATGAACACATTATTATTTACACTTCATTCAAGAACAATGCAAGATTTTTTAGCAGCATGATGAAGTTTTGAGGGAAAATTCTAAATTAAAAATACAGAGTATTTTTACAGTGGGAAAGCAATTCTTATTAAAGTTTCCTAAGTTATGGGCTTTGAGTTAAGATAGATTGGTTCCTAATGACAACTAAGCTCGATAAAGGCAAAAGACAAAGACTAACCAAGCAACCAAACCAAACAAACAAAAAACCCAAACAACAAAACCAAAAATACACAAACCAAAAAAGCAAAAGCCATGATTCATTAAGTGTCTAGTGAATGAAGGAAAATGGCTTCCTCTCAAACAAAAAAATTATTGAATAATATTGTCAAAGGAATGAGAAATGAGCCAAGTATCATCCTCAGGGAGTCCTTTAGTGTAACACCCCTTCTAAACAAAACAACAAGGAGCTTGGACCCAGAAAAACAAAACAAACAAACAAAAAACCATTCTGGCATACATAGCCTATCTTCTTACATATTTGGAAACTTACACTAAACAACTCAACTTATTAACGAGCTACTTTACAGCCAAATACTTTCTGCCTCACAGTGAAAAAGTATTTATTATGCTAAGACACATTTGCCAAATTGTGATTTGGGCTCTTTGGCCATGTACCTGAGGCTATTCTTTAGGTCTTGATTAACACCTGGACCTTAATGGCATTGAAAACAGTAGAACAGAGTTTAAATTGAGCAGAGTCACAATATTTTAAGCATATTATCTTTTTCTAGCAGGCACAGGGAATTTCACAGTGCAATAGATCTTAAAACATAAATTAGAAGAGGAAAAGGAAAGAGGTTTTCATCAGTTTTGAGCACTATAAATACAGAACTGAAAAACTATTATGTTAGAAAAATTATCGGGATAGTAAGGAGACTTGAAATCATGTCATAATATGAAAAGAGAAAAAAAGTTAAAAAAGAAACAAGAAATCAGAAAACTTAGCTTCTATTTCTTTAGCCATTTACCAATACATTAACCTCCTTACGTTACTTACCTCTCTTAGCCTCCATGTATAAAATGAAATACCCTACCTCTCTCACAGCATAGTTGTAGGGATTAGACCCTGAGCTATACAGGAATGTATTCTAAATATTAAAGAGACATTGAGCTATGTTGCATACTAAGCTCCAGATAAAACCCCCTTCACTTCCACCTGCTTCTCCCAATGCCATCCCATTTCTTTAATGTACTGAGGTCCAAAACTTTGGAGTCATCAGTGTCCCCTTCTTTTACATCCTGTATGAAATCCAGTAGGAAATCTTGTAGTCTTCAACTTCAAAATACATTCTGATTCCCATTCCTTATCCTTACTTACACTGTCACCACCATGATTCAAGCCATCACCATTTCTTGCCTGGATTACTACAAAATGTCCCGACTGGTCTCCTTGCTTGCTTTAGTATGTTTTCTGTTGCTCACAACAGAGTATCTGAAACTGGGTAATTTATAAAAAAAATAAAATTTATTTCTTAAAGTTTTGGAAGCTGGGACCTCCAAGGTCCAGGGGACACATCTGGTGAAGGTCTTCTGGGTGGGGATCTCTACAGGTGAAGGTCTTCTGGGTGGTGATGTAGGCATCACATGGTGAGGATGGCAAAAGCTCCTTAACATGCTCACTTACTCTCTTTTTAAGCCACAAGTGCCACTCCCATGACAACCCACGAAACCATTAACCCATTCTTCCACAAATGAATTAATCCATTCATGAGGGCATAGTCATCATGATCCAATCACCTCTTAAAGGCTCCACCTTTGAACACTGCCATAGTCTGATTTCCTAGCCTCTTAACACTGTTACAATGGAGAGCAAGCTTCAATGAGTTTTGGGGAACAGTCAATCCACAGCATTGCTTCAAGTCTGTCTTTGCTTCAATCTGTTCTTAACCTAGTAGTCAGACTTCTCAGAAAATGTCAAATCATATCATTCCTCTGCTCAGCTCTCCTGTGGCTTCCCATTTAACTAAAAGCCAAGTTCTTACAACATAAAGCTGTGTGACTTATGCCTCCCAGCCCCTCCCCATCATCAATTCTCTGGTCTCATTTTAGTACTACTTCCCTCCTTGTTTATTCAAGCTCCAGCCTCCTTGCTATTCCTCAGACACACAAAGGCTTCAGCTGTTCTTTCAGCCTGAGATCCACTGCCCTCACGTTCCTGGCTCACTCCCTAACCTCCTTCAGGTCTTTGCTCAAATGTCTCCTTACTGAGGTCTTCCTTGCCCACCTTATCTACATTACAGCAGGACTGCCATGTACACATATGCACAAACACACTCCCTTTCCCCTTCCTTGTCACTTTTCACTTTGCATTTATCACCATTTATCTTGTTGGTTTCTTCTCACCACTAGACTGTAAGTTTCATTTGGGCAGGATTCTTATCTATTTTGTTTACTACTGAATTCCTAGTGCCTAGGACAAAGTATGATGCTCAGTACATAGTAAATGAATGAATGAGTGAAAGAATGAAAGAGCTCTCCTTGTGGGCAGATCTGGGATTAAAATTCTGCAATTTACTAGCTCTTGTTTAAAATCCTTCATCACTTTGTAAAATGGGAATGATGTTAATATGTATCTCATGGATGATTACAAGAAATAATAAGATTGAAACACACAAAATAGAATTAGAATAGAACCTAGAACATAT